AGAGAATGAAATTGCGGTTGCTAGACTTAGCCTTGGAGGACATCTGGAAGGCCTTTTGATTTCAAGAAAGCTATGACGGTGGAAGACGTGACTGGGTAACCTTTTTCTGCAAGTGGGACAGTTAAATTATTTTGCCACAACATGGTTTGCATTGTTAAACCCCGATCAGGCTCGATTTCCGGCCACAACGGCGCACACTGCCCTTTTTCAAATGCGCCGGCTTGCTTGCATTTGCAATAATACAAACATCCGGTCAAACCTACCAATTTTCAGACTCACACCAAGTGCAACGGTGGATTTGCGCGAGTCATGAAAATAGAGCGCCCGATTCTCGACGTCTGACTTTCTGCTGTTCAAAATACTGCATCATTGATGGCAGATTGCTCGGCGTTGATTTCTTTTTAAAAAGGAGGCCGTAATATTATTATCGAAAAATTCAAAGAGCCTTCCATAAGCAGGCCATTCAATATTTAAATAGGTTACTCAGGTTTCATCGCAAATGATTTCATCCATGTGGAAAAACGGTGTCATTCTGTGACCTGGGACAATCAGTTATGGAGTGACACTGTTCTGCTCTGTTTCTTTGCAGTCACTGATACTAAATCATGTTCTGACGTCCAGTATGCTCATGCAATATCCTCCAATGGCCAGCCACAACATTGGGTCTATAAACTGAGATTCTGTGCATCAACTGTATCACAATGTGTGTCGTTTGCAAAGATGAAGAGAAACAAGGGTAACATAACGACCTCTTCCATTCAGAAGCGTCTAAAAGAGAAGCATCTACAACTCAGAAACGAAAAGGTGGTAACGTTGATTGACACCTCAGACAGGTAATTATCGCTTAACAACCTATTTAGGATTGTCATTGCAGTTTGCTGTGCTGTAGAAACTATCGGGATTTGTTCTCAGTATGATGTAGTATACATATAGTTCTCGCACAACGTTAATGTTGCTCTCTGGCAAAAAAAAACAAAAACATTCTTGTCTTTGGAAAGGCACATTATTTTGTAGTTTTTGTTTCTGATAATGATTGTGATATGCAAATAGAGAAGTGGCCCTCATCATGTGTCTCCATGTGTGGCGTATCTGTGTATCTGCTGCCACCTGCTGGAAGTAATTCATAACTGTTTTAACGATAAACTGGCGTATCAGCAACGCTGGAGGAGATGAGTTTCGGAACAGGGCAGCAGAAACATCTTGGCAGATTAAGAACATCATGTTTGCCTGAATTTGAAATATTCGTTTGAGATATGTTGGCAAACTTTTTACAGTGAACTGTACCCATATTTAATTGCCATATTTTCGACATCTGCGTGTACCAAGGAAATAAAGCTGTTGTCAAATTCAAATTTTACATAAAAGGTTCACTCGTATATTTGGAGAAAGGTTCATATTTAATTTTTACACCTTATAATAGTGGTTCAGAACCATTTTAAAAAGCACCACCATCATGGCCATCATTAAAATACAGGAGCATAGAAGGCCTCAGCGTTCATCAACAATGAAAATTTGGTTTTATTTAAGACTATTTTATGTAACTGTCGTGATTACTTTCATAATTATTTATTTAAGTATCATGATTACCTTTCCACGCCATTGTAAAATTGCAATGTAAATTGCAAAATTTCTTTGGCTTACGCTGCCCCCTGGTGTTAGATTTGAGGGTTGCATAGGGGACTAATCAGGAGTCACGTCAGTTCATTTGAGGAATGACACAGCGGCGTGAGATGCATCCAGCAAGATATTAGATTTCTCCTAATTACTAATTAAGTAAATAAGAAGCCGTAGCGCCCATTGACGATAAAATAAGTCGGTTCAATTCTCCTGTCAATTTCAGATCGGCTTCAATTCACAGCGGCGACTCTCAGTTCCAAACACGTCCTCTCTCCTCATCCTCGGCTTAGGAAACAAAAAATGATATCAAGCATTTCGGTGTTGACGCCGGAACTGGAAGCGTCCCTCTGGGTGACATGAGATCATTTGTCTCTATTCAGACGTTTCCATCGGCAGGCAACTCATGTGTCGCGCATTCCTGAGCCAAGAATGTTACCTCTGTGGGTGTTTTATCATGAGTTGAGGAGATGCCTGCCAAGTTATATACTCGAGCATTTCGTGGACTCCAACCATTTTTGCATTGCAGATTATGAACACACCCATCACTCCTATTGACCGTTATGCGAGTGTGTAGAGTAAATGTTGTTGCGTGCATAATTATTAATCCGCATTGGTGTGTTTTTGTTTCCGTTAAAAACAACAGCTTTATCCATCCATGTATCGAATATTTCATCCCGCTGAGTATATGTAAAGTTCAAATGTGCCTCCGCGGGTTATTTGTAGCGGCTAATCTACAGTATAAAACATTATAATTCTGCATGCACTTGACACTCAGCATTTATATTAATTTATGTGATATCAGACTTTTCAAATCTTAAAACTCTTACTGCGTTCTCCACTGTCACTTTACGCTCTTGTAATGTCCTCAAAAATCGATAATTGTTTTCTGTGGTCTACAGTACGATCAATGTCCTGTTGTATAACATCAGCCGATCTCGCTACAGAGTATCACTGTAGTTTATTCTTGTCATAGTCTTTCTATTCTGGGACACGCACACGCGCGTTAAAGTGTGTGCGTGTGCGTGTGCGTGTGCGTGTGCGTGTGTGTGTGTGTGTGTGTGTGTATGTGGCTTCGTTTACCCAGAAGAGGGCAGTATCTATCAGCTTTGATACTACGACGATAGCGAAGTATCCGTTCAGATTCTCAGTCGTCCAGTTCATGATAAACCGCAATCCTCGTGACTGGACTCATTTTGGTTGAAAATGTTTCACCTTTAATTCTTTTGATGGCTGTGTCCCTTGGGGGTGATCACAATAGGATTGGTGTTGTTCTTCTTCTTGTTGCCAGGCCGAATTTGCAAAGGCCCACTTCGGATCACATGTACAGTAGACCCATAGGAGTGTAGAATATTTTCATCGTGTCTGCATCGATGCCACTATCTTAAAATATCACAGAGTTTACAGTTTATTTAAATGTGACTGCAGAATGTTTGGTGTCTGTGGTAGACTTTTACTTCTGTAGGTGCAGATGTCTTGTCGTGTATGCTTTTTTTTCTCATCAAACAACAGTGGACAGCAGAGGTATATCAGCACAGTCATGTCTTTTAAGACCTTTTTCTACTCGAAACAAATTGCTTAGGGAGAGAAAGAACTTCGGAAATAAGATTCGTCTCCGGCATTACTGTACATAAGTAAACATATTCATTCACATAAAGCACACAGGCAGACATGTAATCGAGGGCCGATTGAGTTACGCGGTTCCCATCTGTGAATTGCTGCACTGATGAATAAGTAATGCTTAATCCTTTCAAGTGCATCTTTGAACATTGCTGAAGTTTTTAACCCTATGAAACCCAGACTACAAACCTCTCATTCTTGCCTTCTTGGCCGCTTCTCACTTTGTCTTGCCTGCAAAATACCCCCAGCCCCCACTGTGGTTTTTTTTTTTTCAACCGTGTAGAGTATCTTTGAGACACAGACACAAAGGTGACTAACACATATCATATTGAATCATGCATGCAAGCTTGTAGCACACACTGTGCAGCTCTTCCGCTCCGGGAACCCTCAAAGGACAAACTTGGAAATGATACCATGACACAGCTGGGCCTCTACATTAAGCGCACACAGGCAGCCTATTCATCTACATTTTCAAGAGCACGTTTCCTATCGAATGAAGCGATCGTGGGACATTGTCAAGTGTCTACAGGAAAAAACACAAACTGAAACAAATTGAATGGGATTGCAGAAGCCACGGCATTGCCAAGAGGCCGTCGTTCAGGTGAGTGTGGTGAATCATCCTCGACATCATTGCCTTGATCAGCTTTATGCTGTCCTGTAAATTCTCCATCCCAAATTGTATGATGAAAATGAACCCTCCCCACCCAAAAAAAACAAAAAAAAAAACAGGAAGTGATGTCGCCCTCTGCCGACATCGTGGAAATATTGGTTGACATTGCGACCTTTCGTCGGTCCCACAGACCACAATGACATTGAGCCATATTGTTTTAATTTCACCAATCACCATGCTGTGTGTGTCTGGCATTTTTTTTTTCAACTTTAATTGGCTGTGCATCTGGCTTGCGTGCACCTGCGTGTGACGTACGAAGTAGCACGTTCTCGATGCCGGCTGGCTGCCGCAGACACGGCACCGCCGAAGATGAACAAGAAGAAAAAGAAGATCTCACGGTCGTAAAATTGTGTTGACAAACTGTAGTTTAGCAATGACAAAAGTGCCAATTTGATTCGGCTTGAAATAATGATGGACGACGGCACGGTGGTCGATTAGGAAATGGATAGATGGATGGATAATGATGGATTGATGATGATGATCCGGCCGCTGCTGAATGATGACTGACGGACTGTCAAAATTTGCAGATGCACCCACCTCTGTATAATTCTGTAGCAGCAAGGTTGGGGCACCACCACGGCTGTTAGACAGAGCTTTGGTGTCATGCCATCTAATGTTGTTTCAGAGCGCACAAAACAGCAAATAGGTGATTTTTTTTTCAGTTAATTATGAAGATTAGCTTGCAAACCCCTAAAACCCCAAAGTATGTAAATTAGCCAATCGTGACTATGGGGAGGAGATGGGACTGGGGGGAGGGGGGGGGGACTTTACACCACACACTTATGATGGTTTTGATGTTCAAAATTCAATTTAAATTACCCATGGTGTCACAAAATGGCCTCATGGCGCTGTTTTTTTTTTTAAACTCAAATTATGTTTAGAAATTTTACGAATTTAAATTAGGACACACGTATTTCAAAATAGTGATAAAATCCGTGCTGATCTGTGCATATAACGAGGAATTTGAAAGCATCTGATGAATAATTCTTTTCGGATTAGCGCCCCTTTAACACCCCTGCTTCTCTCTCTCTCTCTCTCTCTCTCTCTCTCTCTCTCTCTCTCTCTCTCTCTCTCTCTCTCTCTCAGAAGTGTTGTAAGCGCGCCCACCAGTGCGACTGCGAACGGCGCGTCACACCATCGCTTCGGTTCACAGCTCGCGGTGGCGCAAAAGGGGACCGCAGGAAGCACGTTTGAGGGCATTCGGGACGTTTGGGGACTCTCGGAGGATCAGCTCAGGCAGCGAGGTGCGCGCCATGGCCTCCAAAGAGACCACAGCGCCGGGCTTTGCCAGTGTCAGCAGGGAATTGACAGGTGAGCTCCAAATGACTCCCCCCCTGGGTTAATTGTGCTGTTTAACCTCCAAAGCGCAACGCCGCCCCGGAAGTGAAGGCTGACAAGATTGTTTTGGGGCGACACGTGTGAAATAGTTTGGCTTGTTTTGCCTCTTCTCTTCTCCAGTTTAGAGTTCCGGCCGCAGGCAAAGGCAGTAAAATGTCCCTTCAAGGCAAAATCGCTGAGCGAAATTGGGAAGGTTGTCATTTTATCGATTCGATTCACTTTAGGATTGATTCGGCATGCATCTCGGCTGTGAAATTGATCGTGCCGCAGAAAGGGACTACGAGTGATATTTTGGATGTGTGGCACACATCATTTGTGAAGACTTGATCTCTCCTGGCGTTCTAGCGCGAGTTGGTGTGCGCCGGGTGAGAGATGCTTGAGCAGCGATTGATCGGGCACGCGCACACGAGAAGCTCGTTTCTAATTAACCTGACGAGGTTGTTTACTTGAATCTTGCTGTTAACCAGCTCATCCTCGTCAAGCCCCTTCTGTCTGGCCGTGCCGCGTTAAGTCATGAACACACCTGCCAGATCCCGAGCGATGGCTTCATAATGACCCCGCCGTCAGCGGGAGCAGGCCCACGGAAGTGCCAAAAAGGCCGTTTGCCTGTGAGCAGGGGGAATTAAAGTGGAACAGGGGCACTGACCCATCTTTCCTCCCCTACCCTTCTTCGCTTTTGGGAGTATTTGAGTTCAACCAAGGGGGGTGCCAAGTGCATTGAAAGGTTTAAACGTGTGGGTCTTACCTAAGCTTAGTGTTGATAACCATCAGCGTTTGGTTGGCCTCAAGCGTGGGAGCAAACTTAGTGTTTGTTGCAGGAAAATGAGAGTTATGAGTCTATTTATAGAGAGGATGCAGAAAATCATCTGCACACAAGCAGACCTCTCCACACAAGTGGAGTACACATAACAGCATGTACTGTAACCTCTCCTGGATGCATAAGACTTGCATTGCATCTTTGAAGAACATACTGTATGCGGCCGATGCTGTCGGTACAGCTAGTGGGTGGAAGACATTGAACTCGACGCGGCCATTCCAGTCCTTCAATATTGCAGCGCTATATCTTTCCAGGTTTCATTGGAGTGAGCCAGCTTGTTTCTATTGAGCTCTGATGCTAAAAATAGCCCAGATACAGTAGGAGCCCTTGTTTTAGAGGTTCTCTGTGTGTTAACGGCGTGTGATGCTAATCCTTAATAGCTCAGTCTTTGACGCCCTGATCATTTTGGACGTTGGTGCCCGAGTTACAGCCGTGGCAGGCAGCTGTCCTTATGCAGCCATCTGTTCATAGGGCACCGCTGTTATTTTCAATATGTTTACTCGGGCTGCACAATATGTCGAAAAAAATGTCGGCGTCGGGATAATGGTGTGTGCTCTATGCATAATCGCAAAGATGTGCGATAAGATTCAGATGGGATTGTCTGCTTTGATTTGACTTTGACCAGTCAGATGCAACCTTGGATGGACATCACATTCCAATAGGTCAACAGGATCAAGGGGTATTGCTAACACTAAAGAACTTCAAATGATGACTATGTACTGTATATAAAAATACAAACAATTTGTAAGGTAAAACATGCATTTCTTTCATTAGATCATGAAAATATCATTTCTTTTAATTATCTCAATAATATTGATATCGCAGGAGTGTTTTTCCAATACCGCGAAGCCCTAATGTTTACCATTGATTTGAAGTCGAATCTGTACAATTCCTTTTTTTTTTTAAACCATTGTTGCTAACAGGAGTTAAATAATCTGGCCAAATAACGGTGACCGTATCCTTTGCTGGAGTGTGCCTGTGTCCCCACGACGTTCTGTGAGCAGTAGTGCACTGAGCAAATGACTGGCAACAGAGTGGAATAGATTTTGAGAACTGTCCAAATCATTCGATAAAACTGTTCCGCTTTTGCCCAAGTGTATGCTGTTTGTTTTTTCCCCCTCATTTACTAACGAGGCGAAAGTTTGTGTGACAAGACAGAGCTCGTCACTCTAAGATTAGAAATCACGTGCACGCCTAAATGCTCTTTGGTCTGTCTTTTTGTTCTCCTATTTTCTACGAATATTGCTCTAGATTGATGTTGATGTGAACGTTAAGTGAACTAGAATGCGGCAAAACAAACGACGCAGTTTGGAATGATTCCTCGGCGATCTGTTGGTAATGCCTTGGTAGGAAGTAAGGAAGAGCACTCGGTCAACAATAATTGCGACCATGAGGAATGGAAAAGCGATGGTGCCAAAAGATTGCATCCGCATCCTGCGCACGCATTTGCATTACCATAACGACGGCATTAAGTCATTGACGAGGAAGAGGGACAGTGTGCAAGCAACTTTAATTGTGTGTAACGGTAACAAGACTAACACGTCAGCTCATCTGCTGACACTTTTACTCCCTGCGGCTTTTCAACAGCCTTACGGTGGCGAGTCAAACAGGGCATGCAGTTTTCCGTCCGCGACTGCCCAGAACATGACTTGTACAGAAGCGCACCTTGAAGATATCGTGTAGTTCTTTGCCATAGAAATGAAAAGCATGTTGGAACTAAATTCTTGCAATCAGACTCTCACCCGCTTTTATGTGCCACATGTCTCAGTATCTCATTTTTTCACGTTAAAACCAAATTATGTCAGACATCCCATCCCAGCTGATCTTGGGCGGTAGGCGGGGTGCAACACACACACACACACACACACACACACACACACACACACACACACACACACTGTTCTGCCAACAGATTTATGGGATTGAATTCCAAGAGTAAATTCATTATTTTACTTTCTGCACTAAGTTAGTTATCCATATAGAGTTTATTGATTTATTCCATTTTGAGGTAATTTTAGCTAATTGTGTGATCTTCAGTTTGTTTCACAATACTGTTGATATGTGAGTGAATGACTGCATTTTTTTTAATGCGGTGGGGGATTTCCCCACTAATTAATTATGGCAAGAATTTGGATTCATTTTTAAATAAAGGTATTTCGGCGATAGACTTGTACCTGCTATTTTGAGTTCAACTGTTTTGATGAATATCTTGTCTTTTCTTCGTCCTGCCAGAGAGCATCAGGAAGGTGCTGGACAAACAGGCCATTAAATTTGTGAGAGCTACCAAACTGGACACCAAGAATGGGAAATCGGAAGACAGGATTCTGGTAAGAGACCCCAAGACTGTAAAGAGTCCCTTTTTAGGCCCTTATTTTTCTGCTTTCATGCCAAATTAGACATTGACTTTGATATGGAATATGGACTTTAAGACAAATCGAAGTTCTCTGAAGCCGAGCGGAATCCCATCGAGCTTAATTGAGACAAATTGAAAGACCTATAAGAAGTCACAGATTAGGCATCCTGTCACACTAAGCAGACGCGCTGAACATCGGGGCTTAAGGCAGATGCTGCCCAAGCAAAGCAAAGTGGACACTGTGTCATGGCCTACTGAATCTAGCCACAGAGTTTATTAGATGTGGCAGGGTGGCCTTAATGCCACAGGCAAGAGTTTGGTGCGTGCATGTGTGAGCCTAACATTGTATATACGATACGCTATGTCATGTATTTATTTATTGATGGATTTATTTATTTATCAATCACAATCCTGCATGTTGTATGAGAGTATATCCCAAAGGGACTGCGGTGCGTTCAAGGTGCTTTGTTGGCCCAGGTCACCTCCGCGGTGACAAAGTATGACTTGCTCAGCCGCGTTAGAAATATATCCTATGCATTAATCCGTTGAGTTTTTTTTTTCGTTCCACGTTTTGTTTCTCCAGCATCCTCCTTTCACCACCCTTACGCCCCCTCCCATGTCCCCACTACTTCTGTCATGTCCTCTCTTTGTTTCCTCTCTACCTCCCTCTTTCCCTGTCATTTTAATCACTCTCCTTCTCATCATCGTGCCCCCCGACCCCCACCACCCTTGTTGTGCTCCCCCCCGACATGCCAGTTGCCTCTCACTCTCTGCATCTCCCTTGTGCCCTTCCCTCTATCTTTAATCCCGGCCTATAAAAAGTATTGGGCCCCTCTTTCGATCACAGGCAATTCAATTAGTTACAAGATTTATTTATTTTTTTTACTGTCCATGTGAGCCTTGGGTACTGCTCTGGATGCATTCAAGGAGGAAAGGAGATATAGGCATTCATTCTTGTTTCAATCGAAAAAATGGATCCATTTCAGAGGTGTGATGGTGAGCACGTGAGGGAGATTGGAATGCTCTCTTCATTTCTCTGTGCATTGAGCACTCATCTTTCAAACGGTTTCAAGGGATACCAAACTTATTTGGCAATTATCAGCAGTAAAAAGTGATACTTTGTCCAAAACGAATTTGAGAACTTGATTGTTTTTCATGCACGATTAACACCTTTTAAAAACACATTGTTAAGGTAAGGCTCGTGTGATGTCATTTTCAGTCGAAGTTTAAGATGCGCTTTGGAAGGTGTTAATTGCATTTGAGAATTTGATTGTTTTTCATGCACGATTAACACCTTTTAAAAACATATTGTTCAGTTAAGGCTCGTGTGATGTCATTTTCAGTCGAAAGCAAGATGCGCTTTGGAAGGTGCTAATTGTACATGAAAAATCATGAAGTTATCAAATTCATTCTGGACAAAATTTCAACTTTTTATGTCTGAAAATGGATAATTAAGTTGGGTATCCCTTTAGGCTTCAAGGCTGAAAAGAAAGCCGACTCCTCCTGTCTGTGATGGCTCATTCCTGAAACTCGAAGGCCCCTTTTTAGCTGGGTCTGCTGGTTGATTTGGTTTGGTGGACAAATCGAGCACATCCTTTTGTTTGTTCGAACTTGCTATAAAGTCTGTTGTCCTCTATTTTTATTGTCTGCCCCTGTTTCCGCCCGTGGAGATCGATGGTATCCAGCTGTCTGTGTATGTTGACTGTACCAGCCATCACACGATGACACACATGTACATCGACACGGTTGAGCCATCCCCCCCCTTCCCCGGACTCTTCCAGACGCAGGCAGAAGGGTGTAGCATCACAAGCAAGAGCCACCCAGGGCAATCTGTTGGAGCTGCATCAACATGCATGCTTCCATCTTTCAGTGAAGACACACACACACACACACACACAC